CTGCACGTTCAAGAACACATATATAGATGAATCGAAAATAATGAATACATGAAAATATATCATTATTCCATTCATGTTTCATGTCATTTATACCACAAAGAGGCACCAAGGGCCCATTTGTTACTCAAGACAGAAGATCATAGGATAGGTTGTACTTCATTTCATGTGCATTGGATGGAGACTAGGACCAATCTCAATAGGATAAAATGTATTCTTTTTCCTACACAAAAAGATGGAACAAGGTAGGACATGGAATGTGTCTAAATGTCTTGTCGCTGCAGAACACGTAAAGGTTTTTCTCATCCTCATCAATAAAAATAGCCCTAAACATAGAAGATGCATGTTATCTTACCTCAATGATTCCACCACATAGCCAACCATATGAGAGATAATGATATAATTGATCACGACCAGGTTCGGTTTCTGGTGCAACCTCCGCAATGCGTTTTACACACTCATCCCAATCACAAAATAATGTAGGATCATTTCTAGTATTGTCAGCAAGAGCGTTGTGCAAACCAGATGTATGATTCAGTATATGATGAACCTGCATGAGAAAGGAAAAGTGATGGTCCCTTTGAATATGGATATACATTTACAACCTTATAAAGAAAATATACAACAGAATGCTACCAAATAAAGAGATTGTCACAAGATATCACACTAAATGGTTTCTCTTTTTTTTTTTTCTACAAATAGGTTATTCTTCCGACAACCCTAATTAGCCCACACCAACCTTCCGAATCCACAGTTTGGGATTTAGAGTTTAGGATACACAATGGCCCATTATATGGATGACATAGAGCCTACCATAAGGAGCCAATCAACTATGGAATTAAATCTCCCATGTTATGGTTGTTGAGACTATAACTATAGTGTGTTTCTAAAACGATATATACCACTCCAAACAAACCTCTGTTATGTCGTGAGAGTGTTTTAATAATGTTTTCTCTAGTGAGATCAGGTAAGTAACGATAACATTAAGAATAAGGGGGGAAAACAATTGAATGAGGAGAACCTTTATTTGATCCTTCCCATTTGTACCAAACTCTGGCCAAATGTTTGCGACCTTTTCATCAAGGTTTAGTTTCCTAAAATGAAAATACATATTTGCTTATATTTCCTTGCTTATATTTCGTTGATGTTAAAAATATAAAATTGAAGAAGATACCCTTTATCAGCCAGCCAATGTATCATTCCTGCTGTGACACCCTTAGTTACTGAGAAAGCAGGAAATAAGGAATCAGGTTGAACTGGACGAGGGTTGTCTTTTCCCAGCACTCCAGCTGCAGTATCAATGATCACTTGCCCATCTTTGTAGGCACAAACCTAAGAAACATAAACCAGATTTTGAGTGATTACACAATGTATAACTCATGTACATTGATGTTATTAATGACATGTAAAAAAAATACTAATTCAAGCTAGGTTTTTAATAGCATGCTCCAATCTGCAAAGTAACGTTGCCATTATGAACTATTAAAGGGTATCAATTATAGTTATAGGGATAGGGTTGGAGCAACGAGCAACACAAACTTTCTATGGTTATTTTCAATGATGAAGATATATAACGAGTACACTAAGGTCTTTGATACAATCAAGTAATGTCCCAATCTGCAAAGTAACGTTGCCAGTATGAACTATTAAAGGGTATCAATTATAGTTATAGGGATAGGGCTGGAGCAACGACCAATACAAACTTTCTATGGTTATTTTCGATGATGAAGATATATAACGAGTACACTAAGGTCTTTGATATAATCAAGTAATGTCCCACTTTTCTCGATGGGGCTGAAAGTTGCAATAATCATGCCACATTTTTCCAAGTCAAATGAATGCCAAACATGGTACAAGTAATAAAGTAAACTAATTTTTCCACTTGAACAAGTCTTATAATGTTATTTTCAGTATGAGGATATGGAAGTCTTTGACATCATTTTCAAAATGCGAGATTGAGAGCTAATCTCTATTTCACGGATAGGAAAAAAATTGCAATTTTTGTCCCTCATTTCAGTCTAGCGAACATGTGCCAAGGGCAATACAACTAATATGGCAAACCACTTATACACTGTCTTATTAAGTGTTTTATAGGGATATTTTAGATGATGATTGTTAGCGTAATATTTAATATTTATCATATTTGGTTTTAAGGACAAAGGGGATTAATGTGTTTAAAACATATGTAATTGAACACACATGAAACACGACACAAGTAATATTCATGTAAACCAATTATACATGGACTAAACTCAACCGAATAGACATATTTCTAGTGTTTTTTTAGCCCTAACAATACTAGGAGTGAGGGTCGGAGTTGAAGACGTGTCAAGTGTGTCACCGTACAACCTGTGTCGTAACGGGGACCGAAATATTAATCAATCAATAATTTGCCGTTAATTACTCTCAATCAGTTGCTAATCCGTGCTAATCTAAGTTCTGGGACCTACTTTTAGTCTTCGCACAATCCTACTCGAACCAAGCAACCGTTGGGGTATGAAGTTTTGTCCAACATAGTGCACTTAGAATCAAGTGGAACACTTAGATGGAGCATTTTGAGTTCAATGGAAGACTTTGAACTTAATGGAGCACTTAGGGTTCATGAAGCATGTACTAAACGAACACATCATCTGAGAATGCATCGAATCATCTGACAAAGGAATGGATCTAGTGCCAAAGGAACGAATCATCTAAAAGGGAGTTTGGGGCACCTGGGAGCAACTTGGAGCAACTTGGAGCACTTGGAGCAACTTGGAGACTGCTCGTGGAAGTTTCTCATGAGATGTTTCTAATAGAAGTTGCTCACACGATGTTGCTCATGGAAGTTGCTCACGTGATATTGCTTACATGGCATCGCTCATGGAAGTTGCTCGTGATGATGCTCATGGAAGATGCTCATGGAAGATGCTCGCAGATGATGCTCATGGAATATGCTCGCGGATGATTTAAGGGAACCCCTTCATGGGCTAATTATGGGTGGGCATGACCCATCATAATTAGGGTTTTCCATGCTTGCCTGTAAATAGGCTCATATGCCATCATTGTAAAATTGCTAGAGTTCTGTGAGATTTCAAAGTAAGATACACTTTTGAGTGCTTGTAATAGTTCCAGAAAATTAATAAAATATTATCTCTCTCTTATTTTCCCGTAGACATAGGTCACATTGACCGAACCACGTTAAATGTTATGTTCCTTTGACTTATATTTTTTGAATTCATAATTCTATAAGTTCACCGTAGTTTGTTTCAGTATTTGTCTAAAGTGCTTAACTTGTTTTGTTGCAACCCAACAATGGATGATGTTCGGATTCGTATATGTAAGCCATGGTTCAAAGACCTGTCACATCAAAAATATTCCATTGGGATTATGGGATTTAACTTCTTTAAGATGGGTCCTAGGACACAGTCGACATGGTTTGTCTAGAGTGTTAAACACCTCTCTTCTAGAGTTATTTTGCATGTTAAGAATAAATCGGCCATTATTATCGTTTGAAGGTGAGATAAATAATACATCTTTGTTCAAACTATCAGTCTGATAACTCAAATAAATAAATAAATATTATTTAAATCACACTAATATATATATATATATATATATATATATATATATATATATATATATATATATATATATATATAAAAGTTCCTATGTCAGTAACTAAGTAAATTAATTAAGTATAATTAGGAGGAAATTAAGGGTGTTAACATTCAAAATTGTCACACTTAATTGATTACTATATAGATTGAATGGGGACATAATGTGAGTAATCTTCAATAATATAATGAGCTCAAGAAATTGTGTAGAATGCTCACTGGAAATGTGATCTATGGGGAAATTGAAGTAATATGTACTTGAAGATTTTTGGAGTTGTGTAGATAATTAAGGCATGCTCTCCTGATTTAAGTCCAAATTAGTTGTACAAATAACATTAGATCATGTGTATTGTGGTTTTGATTCGATAATATGCGTTTGTTGGAACCGAAAATAGGTGAAATGATGAAATATTAGTGATTTTGCTTAGTTTTTGTTTTTTAAAATGTAAATGTAACCTTTACTCCTAATAATAGGAGTATTTTAAAAAAGAATTGTACTTCATTTTTAATAATATATATTACTCATCATCGTACAACGAGTGAAATTGCCAACGTGCAACAAGTTGCGCTGCTAAACCTTTTTGTATAGTAAATCTAATTCTTTTAAAGACTACATCTATAGATCTAGGAGATATAACATTGATATGCATGATCCACTGTACTCTATTAAGAAACTTCACCGCATCCGGCACGAGGAAACCAAACATATCAAATGCAAATGGTATGAGCACATGTTGATTTTCTATGCACGATTTCTCTTGTTTGGTGACTTTGATTGTAGCAGCTTTTGAAACAGTCTATCCCGTCGTGAAACCCCCAATCCTCCAGCCCACAAGAGGTGATACCCCTATAAGGTCCACACATGCGTGCTTCCCTCCAACCGACCCATCCAAAAATCAAAATGTCAAACGATCTTAGGGCTGAACTTTCTTCTGTCGCGTCAGTCAAGAAATTCATAAGTGTCTCTTTCATGGCGGTAACCCCAACATGCTTAAAAATGTCAAACAAAACATCCCTAACCATATCGTGCCTGTATATTAACTTTGATAGTTCTTTACAGTGAACTGCATGCGCTCCAAAAGAATCCAAACATGCCTTGTGACATATCTCGTCGGCTGGGAATATTGGAATTGTGAGTAGATATTTGAGAATAGTACGATACTCCACAAGAGACATATGTTGGCATAGCCATCTATAGGGATAACTAGAATAAAATCTTGAACATGTGGTACACGTAAGCAAATGAAAAACCGCTTTTTGTCGAGTAGTTATGTCGAGATGCACTTACATATCTTAGACAGTTTTACGAAAAATGGCACTCACCAGTCTATTATGGGATTTTTTTTTTTTTTTTTTTGTTGGGGGGGGGGGGGGGGGGGGAGGGGTGTCTTTACATATATGGCCTGCGAGTAATCAATTTTGAAACACAGGTGTGTCTTTTAGTTTTTACAATACTTTTGATCAGTTGTTAGTTTTTTTAGGGAATTAAAACTGATAGTTACACATATGGCCCGATGACTAGAAACTTTCGAAACATAAGTGTGTCATTTGTTTATCTTTCCTAAATCTTAAACTAGTAATTTTTACATTAGTTGGTAGATAAGTATACAAGGTTGGTACCACTTACTAACTCTAATTTATGTCGTTGAATGAAAATATACATACTATATGTGACCGAACTAATACGTCGGAAATGTTCATATATATATATATATATATATATATATATATATATATATATATATATATATATATATATATATATATAACGGATGGGTCGTGACATGTGAGATGGAAATGAACATTTGGTTTCTTGTTAATATATAATTATAAGTTATTTTTCATAAAAATTCAAAAATTTGTAATGGGGAAAAATTCCTGATTACGCATTGGGGATCCCCCATATATATATATATATATATATATATATATATATATATATATATAACGGATGGGTTGTGACTTGTGAGATGGAAACGAACAATTGGTTCCTTATTAATATATAATTATAAGTTATTTTTCATAAAAATTCAAAAATTTGTAATGGAGAAAAATCCCTGATTACCCATTGGGGATGTGGATGGGATAGATTTCATCATAACCCTTTAGTTTCAGTATCACCAAAATTGCTTATGTCTCACATCAGTTTAAGATACGTGAGCTTAAACACCCAAATCACGATATGGAATGCATAAACACGGTGTTGTCATTACAATAATATAATTACAAACGAAGTTGAAGAGTTATGAAGCAATTTGGGTGATAGTGGATATAATAACTAAATCAACCAATTTGGGTGATAGTGGATATAATAGTGGATATAATAACTAACTCAACCAACTACATTCCAATTAAAGAGGTGTATTGTGTATCAAGGTTAGCTAAGTTTTACGTTGATGAGATAGTGAAACTAAATTAAGTTGCTATATCAGTAACTAAGTATTTTAACAAGGTGTAACTGCTTTTAACCGGAGCAAATTATGGGTTTTAACATAAAATTAGTCGACATAAGCATCATGAACACGTAAGACACGATTCCCTTAGAAAAACGTGTTGGTGGAATATAAGTTGGAGGTAGCATAATAAGCTTTGGTTAGGTTCGTCAAAGCACGAGGTGAGTTTTCATATCAATTTTGTAACTACTTGCATGAAAATATCTATCATGCAATAATTGATTCAAATATACTTTGTGAAAAATGTTGTCGCATGAAAAGTGTTCGGACTTGTTTATCTAGTTTGTTACTATCCGGGATGACACCTTTAGTGGGTACTAATGGGGTATTTGATAGTTAGACATATGAGGGATGTATTGTGACTCTCATGGATACGATTTGACATTTTACTATTTTCTTGGATATATAAATGCTTGAGCATAACGTATAGGTTGTGCCAAGTGGAAAGGGAAACAAATAATTGGTTTTTTCTTTAGATATTTGAAATATTCCTTAAGTTGTGTCTTCAGTTGAAACGTAATAGAGTAACTTTTGAATTAGAAATGCATGATAAAACTATAAACTTATACCTTGTTTTATTTTATGGATTCCATGCACGAAAGTTAAGACAATATTAAAAACTTCAACTGATTTAGGAGATTTTGGAACTTATTGATCGTCTATCGTATTTTGAAATTTGGAGTTTTACAACCTGTCATATACTAGTAACACAACTATATTGGAGGAGGGAGTGGTATGCACCTGGATTCCAAGTATTCTATCAGCATTCCCTAATTCAACCAAGAGGCACCTCAGCTTGGCTTCTACATCAGAATGGATTGGATTGTCACATAACCATTTTGTATTCGAGGCTGCTCCGTTAATTGTGTTGCTGAAACAAATAAAATCTAGTAAACATGGGTATGCCCGAATATGATTAGAAAATCAACAGCGACTGGTTGGAACTTGGAAGTGAAGAAAAATCATACCTTTCCAGAACAGAGTTAGTAAAACGTCTCATGATATATAGATAGCTTATCGGAATAACACTCAAGGATGAAAGCCCTGAAACGATGAACTATACTTTTTAAATAGTCATGGCTTATCCCAACAACACAACATGTACAAGGCTAGGTCTAAACGCTGTCGAGTTTTTAATTGATGGAAATGGAAGGAGAAACCGGAATACACGTGTTCTCATGTGGCAAGGGTTGGGAAACAAATGTACATCAGGTCTTAAAACGTTTAACTTTCTTGTATAAGTTTCAATCTTGATGTTTTGCCTTTTGCTCTTTCAAAGGTTTCATGTTTTCCAGGACCAAAACGAATCTGTGTATTTTATAGTCTATCGTCGTCATCCACTTTTAGTATTATTTAACTATGATGACAAACTTTTATTTATAAAAAATTAAAAGTTTTTAAGAAGACGCTTTAGTTAGGTGTTTTGGTTATTTAACTCCGGATTCTTTTTCCAACCACCCTAAATGTATCTAAAATCTAGATAATAAATTGCAGAAAGCTATTGGACGAATATTTGTGATTAAAGTTGCTTTTCTTTTAAGACAAAAATACATGGTAGTAAAAAATATATGGTTTTGGTAATGTTTCGTAACAAGTGATCTAATTGTGGATCCTTTACTGATTTTGGTCTCAGTACAAATAAAAAAGCCGATTATAGCTTTTATATCTTTTTATCTTTATATTAATTTAATGATTTAAAGTAACTAAAAATCTCTCTCTCTCTTTTATATATATATATATATATATATATATATATATATATATATATATATATATATATATATATATATATATATATATATATATATATAGACACACACAAGAAATGCGAGTATTAGCGGTTAGCGGTAAGAGACATCGCCGTTGAAAGTCAGGTATGTCACCGCTAATAGTTTCTGTGGTGATGCATTGCCACTAATAGGTTATCGTTGTTGCCTCACTGCCAATGGTAAATATGTCGCCAATATTGCTTTACGTCGCTGCCAATACACGGTCGACGTTAATGTTGTCGTCGATGCTAAAGCCTCGTCGCCACTAATACGTGTTCATCCCACTATTTGTAGTTTCCGTTTTTTTAGTAGTTAACATTAAAATTGGAAAACAAAATTGCAGAAAAATAGTTCGAAACATTAACAACTTAATAATATATATGGTATCTGATCCAAAATATTAATCCGAACATCCGGTCAAAAAATCTCATCCAAACATAGTGCAATATATATCCAAAATATTAGTCTAAAATACTAACACAAACAAAGAATTTCATAAATCCTAAAAAAAATAGCTACTCATCCTCATCATTCCCCTCGTTTCGATGGTTTTTATTTCATGGCAACAACGATCGAAACCATTCTTCCAGTAAGGTACTACAGGCCAGGTCTTTTATTATTGTTTGCAGCATGTCCAACTATAAAGAAAACAAAATATATTACCAACATATCGTAATAGCATTCTACTTTCCATTACAACATTGTACTTTCCAAATACAGTTAAACATGCTTGCTACACAATATCTTTGTACTTTTTTCCATTATTGCATATACATTAACATTGTACTTTTTTTTCATTTTTCCATTATAGCATTGTATTATACTAAACTAACAATTACCAACATATCATTATAGCATTTTACTTTCCAAATACACTTAAACATAAATCATACACAATATTGCATATATATTATATCATTGAAATTTCTTTCGTTTTCCATTATAGCATTCTACTATACTAAACTAACAATTACCAAACTACAAAATACCAATATATCAAACAATAAGCAAACTACAACCTATCCAATATTTCATATACATTATAACATTGTACTTTTTCATTTTTCCATTATAGCATTATATTAGACTAAACTAACAATTACAAAACTACAAAATACCAACATATCAAACTATAACCAAACTACATCCTACACAATATTGCATATATATTACAGCATTGTACTTTTTTCATTTTACCATTGTAGCATTGTCCTATACTAAACTAACAACTACCAACATATCATTATAGCATTCTACTTTAGAAATTAAGGTCATGATGATTATAGAATCCTATTTTTTTTTCATTTTTTGTAACGACCCAAAATTCAAGACCAAAAATTTCTTTTAATAAAACATTAATTAAAGCAAAATCATCAATCCAAAACATAAACATAGTATTAATTTCCAAAACACATGTTCATTATCAGAGTAAAACATTCATAGGCTATCTAATCAATGGTGTGTGCCATGCGATCACCCCGAGATCTTCCCTCCGCTACTGGAAGTACCTGAAACCAACACTGAAAACCGTAAGCACGAAGCTTAGTGAGTTCCCCACCCTTCCACATACCATGCATAACAACATACTGCACATACTAGGCCACGCCCGCTATCCTGGGCCTCGCCCGCTATAACGGCCCCGCCTGGCTTCAAGCACCGCTCGGATACAGATCTGTTTCAATTAGGCCTCGCTTGTCACAGGGCCTCACCCACTAACAAATAATAACACATAAACATGTCACAACACATAAACTAAACACATACAACTGGTCCTGTACTAAGGCCTTGCCTATCGTGGGCCTCGCCCTTGTCCTACTATTGATGAGTCATGGAACCCCGTCCACGCTCCTTCTAGTAGTGAGATATGGGCCTAGCCCACTCTCACTCCTTCCCTAACTTGGGCCTCACCCCTGTTCTGCTACTAATGAGATATGGAACCCCATCCACACTCTGCTATTAGTGAGATACGGGACCTCGCCCACACTCACCTCCCTACCAGGCACATACATGTATCATACAGACAACAAGTATAAACTATCATATAAACAAATCCTTAGGCACCCGCCCGCTATTAATGGACCTCGTTGGAATATCATACTAACATACGGTGCCTAGGGCTAACCCCCGGGCCTTCTACTCATAACTACATGGGCCGACATTGTGGCCTTAGACCCATTCACACAAGGGGAAACTCACCTACACTGGCTGAACTTGTTGATGATCTCACTAGCTACTGCCCAACAACTCTCTGAACTCCTGCTCCCCTTGCGCCACGAACTACCAATATCAATGCAACACTGAGTCTAACTGACCCCCGAGAGACAACCAAATCAACTTTGGTCAAAGTTAAAGTCCTGGTCAAAGTCAACCTCCCAGGTCAACCCTACTCGCCGAGTCACCCTACTAACTTGCCGAGTTCATATGTTCGGAGTCATTCCTTTCGCGTCTCGAATCACCTAGTCAGTCCATGACTCGCCGAGTCTACCGATTTCTAAGTCCTAGCATGTCCAACTCACCGAATCTCCATTCGACTCACTGATTTGAGTCTCATCTCGAAGGGTTTGGGGTATCGCGACTTGACTCGCCGAGTACAAGGCAATCTTCATCTGACTCGACGAGCTGTTCATCCCACTCGTCGAGTTGCTCCTAATATTCATGCTACTCGCTGAGTCCATTCAGATCTCCTTACAAGCAGAGGACTTTTAAGTCATGCACGGACTCCATACTGTAGATCTACCCTTCCCAAGCCTATTCCTCACGTAAAGTTGCAAAATTTACGTGTAGAGAAGGAGATCTAGGCAAACTACACCATAAATTAGGGTTTAAAGCAAAGAGGCTCCATAATCAACTCAAGGGCAGATACTTTATGCTTCTCAAGACCATAATATGCTTAGATCCGAAGTAGCAACTTCAGATCTGGCTTTTAACTCAAAAGGGGTAGCTAATCATGGCTAGAAAACCCACAAAACTCTCAACCATAATAGATCTAAAGGAGAGAACGACTTAATACCTTCAATAACTCGAAAAGTTTCCCCCAATATTTAGCTCTAAGGCCACTCCTTAAAGCTTCAATGATTCCCCTTCTTCTTCTTCCTTTAAATCACCCAAAAATGGCTTCGAAGCTTGAATGAGCAACAATGGGGCTTAGGGTTCGATGTTCTGAGTGAAAGAGGCAGTAAAGGAACCCTAGGGGAAAGAATGAGACATTTAAATAGGCTCCAAGTCCCGAATTTAGGGTTTTCCTCACACAGACCAGACTCGCCGAGTCCCTTTGGCCGACTCGCCGAGTCGGTCACTTACTCCTCGACCCGGATCCCGCTCGGACTCGCCGAGTTCCTCCTTGGACTCGTCGAGTCACCGCTTAAAATTAGGGTTTTCTTTCCTTTCTTGGCCTTCAAGACTTTTGGTGTTACAATTCTCCCCCACTTAAACTAAACTTCGTCCTCGAAGTTTACTATGATCCACCGCCTGCGATCTGCCTCCAATACCCCACCAATTATTCTAACACCAGCTTCCTACCTTCGCTGGCCTTTCGCTCAGTCATTCAGACTAACATTAATCCTTACGGATAATAATCTCGGGTCAACCTTGACCCTGAACATCCTGGAAACCCAAAATTACTCAACCGACAATCCTTCTGGTACTTTCCGAGTACTACAACTGAACCCATAAGGGTTCACCCCTTCTTTCCTTGCACGATATCCTTGCCTTCCCAAGGCAATGCTCCATAACCATCTATTCCCTCTACCACTGTGAAGACCCTATCTTCACCAAATCTATTACTCCTGCTACTTCCAGTACGGGTCATTATTGCCAGTATCCACTAGGCATTTCTTTCTTCTATAATTTGGTGTCAAGAACCCCACGATCAACTAACTGAATTCCACCGTATGCTGCATACTTGTGTTGGATTAATGTCTAAGTCCATCACTATAATTGGTAAGACTTGACCCGACCCGGCATGGTCCATTTGGGTTGCATGACATCATGCACTTGGATAGACTATAATGAGAGAAATAAGACACTTATGGTTATTAATATATTATAAGTTTTAGTATATTAATAATAAGAATAATAATATTATTTAATTAGTATTGATCAAGAATTAATCTAGGATTAATTAAGTGATCAAAAGAAGACTAATTAAATATATGGGTTGATTGTGTAAATCATCCATACTTGTATAGTGGGCTAATGCTCCATGGATTATCTAGTTAGGCCAAAACCCATATGATGCTCCATGGTGTATTTGAACCCATGTATCCAAGGAAATGGAAAGTCATGACAATTAGGGTTTACCCTAATTGTATAACTATATAAGCATCTTATTCTTGAGGAAAATCGGCCACTAGAACTAGATTATTCTAGAGAGGGCTAGCCGATTTCATGAAGTGTACAATTCTCTCTAAGTTATTCCAAGTGTA